GTAGCGCGGCTCTCATGTCAGAGGTACTTGAGTGAGTGACATGCAGGCTCTGCATGCACAGCAAACTACCAATCACAATCATTCTTGATCAGACCATAGCAGGCCCCGCCCCGCTAGTTTGCAGACCATCAAAACATTAGCAAGGCACAGGAGGACAATACCGGCGAGAATGAAGATGTACTTCCAAAAAGAAAAGCAACATCTGCCATCTGGAACTATTTTGGATACAAAAAGGTTCTTCTCGTCTTCATTCACAGATGAAACCCCTTATTTAAGGGTAAGCAACATGCATTATCATGACATGTTGGATCATGACTTAAGGTATGATGAGTCAACCAGTTAAGATCCAGACGTCCGTGACTAAAATCCTTCATCCAGTTAAATATAGTTAAAAAAACGCAATATATATATATATATCGCCGAGGAAGAAAATATCGCAATGTGAGTTTTTTTCAATATCGTGCAGCCCAGAAATTGTGGTGGTGTTAGGGTGAACAAAATAATAATTCAAAACTTGACTGACTGAACGTTTTTTCTTCAGGCTTCCTGGTTCCGGTACGCGGCGGGCTGCCGAGCCTCGGCTGGTGAGGCTGAAGAGGATCCAGGTGGAGATGGGAGTTCAGGTCTGTGGAGGAAACCTTTACGGCGTCTTTGTGGAGAGTCTGGATGATGACAGCCCTGCCAAGTGTCCTGATGGCCTGCTGCCTGGAGACTTGATACTCGAGGTACTTGCAATGAAATCACTTTAATTAATTAAGGAAGTCATGTGCACAGTAAAAATGATTCACAGGACAGAACAGGCTTCCAATGACACACCTAGAAATTTGAAAACCTCACAGTCCACGGTCTCACTGAATGAGTACACCCTCTTGTTTGTTTTTTGTTTATTTGCTTGTGCTATTGCCAAGCCAATCACTTTCACAACACACATGAGTGAAAAGTGAATCCTTTTCAGTGAAAACAAAGAAGCTTAATTTTTCCTATTTGCGTCCACATTCTGGGGGGCTTTCTACCTAGCTACTCATAGTTTCAACCAAAGTAACTACTTCAATGCCAGACCTTGAAATGATGACAGGATTCACTGTGACCTGACAAAAGCACTCTACAGTTATGCTTTTCAAGTTGAAGATCTCCTCCTATGTTTAGCAGATGTGTGTGAGGTATTATATTCCATAAATGTTCCGGTGCATTGTTTGTATTGCTTTTTACTGAAAATGATGAGTCATTCTGAGTTGGCAGCCTAGTGCAGTGTTCTTTTTGTGAATTATATAATTGATGTTTTCAAACAGTACAATGGCATCAGCATGAAGAACAAAACTAAAGAGGAGGCTTACCTGGAAATGTTAAAACCAGCTGAAACAATCACGTTCAAGGTCCAGAACTGTGTGGACAACCTCTCTGCGATCAAAGAGGCCCCGGGAGATGGATTTTTCACAAGGTAAAAACCACTTTTGATCAGTCAATTCAAACTTGGAGCAAATCAAGTTTCAGACATAAGGGCAAAATCGTGTAAGCTATTCTCTGTTCAAAATCTTCTGTGAAATTGTCTCTCAATCTCTTATGTCTTTGTTCAAAGCTCAGACAAATGTATTCACCATAACTGCTTCGTTGTTCATCTCTCGTCAGAGCACTTTATGAGAGGGTGGCAGAGGCCGAGCAGGAACTGAGCTTTAAGAAAGATGACATCCTCTATGTTGAAGATACGCTACCAAATGGTAATTTTGGATACTGGATGGCCTGGCAACTGGACGAAAATGCACAGAAGCTCGTAAAGGGGCAGATCCCGAGTAAATACATGTAAGTCCAGCCTTTGATTTACTTTTCTTATATCATTAGAGTTAATTTAATACTACTTTCTAAACTGGAATTTCGAGTTTTCTGATCCTTCGTTGTTATGTCAATGAGCACTTTGTTCACCACGCGTTACGGTCATGACTGCAGTTGAGTTAAATGTGCTTCTATATCTCAATAAGGATGGACCAGGATTTCTACAAGAGGCACGGCATGGCCGATCTGAAAGACGATAACGGCACCAACAAGTCTCTGTCGGCCGCGGCACGGAGATCCTTCTTCCGCCGCAGGCTGAAGCACAAACGCAGCGGATCCAAGGACGGGAAGGAGCTGATGGTTCTGGACGCAATAAGCACAGATTCTTTACCCATCACAGAAGGTTAGAAATCACTTAAAGTAGTTTCAAAGTGAGGCTTTGGACCAGACAGACTGACCTGGAAGCGGAATGCTATTCAAATATTTTCTGGATACTACGATTTCGACCTAGTATACCATGACTTTTCAAAAATATAATGTATGTATAGTATAATGTAGTTCTCAGATATGAACGTTTATTAAAAAGCATGCTGGGTTAACAAAACATTTCCCAAGGTACATACATGTGTAGCTGAGATCATAACAATGGCAGCTGTATCTCTATGCAGTCTTGTGTATTTTGTAATGAATTGTTTTGTATCCTGCCCAGATGGAGTGAGCCTGATGTACCAGCGGGTTCAGAGGGTGGAGTGCTCTTTCCCCAGACCCGTGCTGATCCTGGGTCCGTTAGTGGAGTCCAGTAAGGACATGTTGGTGAAGGAGGCTCCTGCTCAGTTCTGTCGCTGTCTGCCTGGTGGGTAATCTGTTATTAGAGTTTATTTATTCATGAAGGATTTTGGGTTTTCATCTGGTTTATATCATCGATGATCTGCAGAGTGGGATTTCACTGCTACTTTTAGAACATGTAAATATGATTAAATTGATGTAAGGTACGAACAAACCGGAGTGAAATATTCCCTTTTTTCTATTTGATTTTTCTCCACTTCCAGAGATCATGAAGGCATCTCAGCAGGCGATAGAGCGCGGAGTAAAGGATTGTGTTTTCATCGACTACAAACGGAGGAGTGGCCATTTCGATGTGACAACTGTAGCATCAATAAAAGAGATAACAGAGAAGGTACATTCATCAAATCAATGCTGCTGTCTTCAAACTATAGGCTGCAGATAGAAGCTTAGTGTGTGTCAATCTAAATGTGCACTTCAATATTCAGATTTATTTGTCCACAATGGTTTTTGATTAGTCCAAATGAACTTTGATGAATAAAAGTGCAACCTAATGTTGGATGTTACTTTATATAAGAAACCCTTGTTAAGAAAGAGATTCACCCCCCCCCATTTCTCATGCAGTTTTTTGCTTTCATTTTCTCTCTCATAGGACTGTCACTGTTTACTTGACATTGTCCCTCATGCCATCGAGCGTCTTCACAGCGTTCACATCTACCCAATCGTCATATTCATTCGCTACAAAAATGCCAAGCAGATAAAGTGAGTAATCCCTTGATTCTATATATTCATGTTTCTTTCCGTTGCTTTTGGCTTTCTTGTTCTGAGACACGTCAAGCGTGCCTTTGCTTTGATGCTTCTGCTGTTTACCCGTTTCCAGTTTAAAGTTCAGATCCTTCAACGACACACTGAGAGAATCATTTTCCTGGAGGCTATTTATGAGAATATTTAGTTTGGAAATGGGATTTTATAGAAATTCAGGCTTTATATGATATCAAAATATGAATTCACATGAACATATACGAGTGTCAGTAGCATCTAATTCAATTACTTTTTTTTTTTAGATTAATGTCGACTCTCCAACATTCTTTATCATCAAAATGTTTACGTACAAGACTGTTTCTTAGAATGATAAAGCTTTTTTTTCTATAAAAAAACCTGATGTCTCATGTGGTTGCAAGTTATTACTTAATTGTCTATCTTTACAGAAACTCAGGAAATGTAACTCAGCAGTGGTCCTCTTGCTTTCATAATCTTATCCTGCAGATGCAACACAAGCTAATTGATCAATCTGATTTAATCACAGTGTCATTAGTTCAGATCCCACAGCCCGCTGAAGTTTTGATAGGATGATTGTGATATTTCAAAGATCCCCTCTGCTTTTTTCATTTGTAATCGCATGGCAAGATTAAATCTCCTGAACCCTCTTCACGGTACTTCATACACATGCAAACACACACAAATAAAGATGCATTCAGGTCTGGCAGAAACAGGCTTCCTCTGCCACACGTGTACACACCCACGGTGGTGCAGCGGGCGAACATGGTGGAGATTGATTCCTGCTAAGCTTTCGTTGTCATCAGCTGAGTGCCAGCTGTCCAGGGAGAGCTCACAGGTCCTGTGGCTCCGCTCTGTGGCGTGGGCGGCTAAAACACTCTCCTCCCCCGCCCGTAACAGACACACGGACACACGGACACACAGACACACAGACACAGAGACACAGAGACACAGAGACACAGAGACACAGAGACACAGAGACACAGAGACACAGAGACACAGAGACACACAGACACACCTCCCACTGCCTGCCTGCTGCAGAGACTGACAGAACTCAGGCTTTTGTATGTGTTTTTATCCTCTGGGAGGCACCGGCAGACCAATATGTTGATGAACACTGAGCGCCCGGGAGAGATGGGAGTGGGTTTCTAGCTTCGGTCANAGACACAGAGACACAGAGACACACAGACACACAGACACACAGACACAGAGACACACAGACACACCTCCCACTGCCTGCCTGCTGCAGAGACTGACAGAACTCAGGCTTTTGTATG